CATAACATAATTAAAGGACAGGTCTGTGATCTTACTTTGACAAGCCGAGAATTTCTCATCAAGGCCTTATCCGGAGGGAGAGAGATTGATGGACAGGTCGTCCCAGCACAAACAGATTTTGCATATGGTTTCAATATGCTACAATAAATCATGCAGTGAAGCAAAAAAAAACCAATGCCTAATCCATCCGCGGAAAGAATCTGAAAGAGGACACGCAGCGTCCCTGATAGACGTCGGGACTCGGAAAGTCACAGTCGTCCTTTGCGAGCTTGTTGAAATATTAACCCAAGACGAGAGTCCATGTCATCTTCCCAAGTCGCTCCATAGCCAGTTACGAGTGACGTATAGAATGTACGAGACATCGAGTAAGAGAACCAACACGATTGGATACTTACTCTCGTCCGCACTTGGTTAAAACTCGAAAGGTGGGCCTGGACCCTGACTTACCAAAGACTCATAACCTGGACTTTCTGCTTACCGATGTTTTCCTGTGGGAGCATGCCAGAGTGTATCCATAGAAACATTTGCGCCAGTTCTGCATCCCACATGTTCATCATGGAGTGCAACACCAAGTATGCCGCGGAGTGGGAAAATGGACTGAAATGTGGAAAGTGTGAACCAGACGGTGTGATCTTGTGTTGACCAAAGAGGGTCACCAGCGTACACGCATCGTGCCCGTCTCTCCTGCGAACAAGCGCGAATCCAAGATGATACATAATGGCGCACGACGAGAGAGCGCTGATCGTCCAAGCGGAGCTCCCGATCCTGTTCGTCTCCCCGGCAGACGCTAATGACGTGGGGGTGAATCATACTAGAGAAAAACTAATGCCGCCTATCAGTACTCAGTCCTCAGCTGGAACACTGACGTTCGTCTCGTTTGTGGCATCCGTACATGGCGTAGTAAAAGAGTGCACTAGGGGCGAGCTTCCTCCTGGACAGATCAACGAACTTGATATGGACACATCCGAAAGTCTCGTTCCTCCCAAATCGCGCATCTTCGCCTACGAGTAAGTAGGAGGAGAGAGGGAAGAGAGCTTGATCTGTCGAGCCGGAGGCACTGAGCATGCTATCAGATCGATGTGAAACCGGACCAGTCACTAAAAGCTTAGCCCCCTCGCTTTGAAATCCCGCGAAGAGGGAGGCTGTCTCTGTCTCTTGCTGTCTCTTGTCTCTGCCATGTTACCCCGCACACGTCCACGTCCACGATTACTGATGAATGGTGTGTATGATATCATCATACACATTGACTGCGGAATCGATTTACCATGCAATAGGACCTTCAGTAAGTTTTATCTAGAGCCGATCTTTGAGAGAGGGTAATGTATACATAACAGATTGCATGCGGGAAGAACCTGCTCGGCATGGTCCGGTCGGTCATCAGCGCACTCAGTGCGGCAGTCGCTGTCGATTGCGTTCGAACCGAATGGCACGGAGCATGTACGAAAACACATTAGGTTGTGTCGTGCTCCATGCTTCGTTGGTTGATCCATCAGCGATGTATCAGCTGCCACTTGCCAAACTTCCGTCTCTCACACACAACACCCACATACACATTGCGCGACCAAAAAGAGCAGAAATCTCTCTCTCAATTGATTACAAAACAATAGTTGATTTGTTCTTGACGTACAGCTCGCATGTATGTAATGCAAACAACGAGAAGAGAAGAGAAGGAAGAGAGAGAATAAAAACATGTGCGTATTGCATACCGCATACAGAAAAGAAAGAAAAAAATTGTTGACGTTTGATTAGTATGATGGGTTTGAGAAGAGACGACGACGGCGTTCTCCAGAAGGGAAGAAGAGACCAGACCGATGATAGGACGACGGTGAAACGGCGTACACAAACAGGTATGTATGTATTGACAGAAGCACTTGTGTATCGAGTTCGTGAGTTGCGGAAGAACCGTCACACCAGACCACCGCAGATCCAAGCCAATCCAGGTGCACTGGTCCGTGGCAGCCTCCACACGAAACAAAACAAGAAAAAGAGTAAGTACATGGGTCGATGGCGTAGTTGGTCATCGCATCTGTCTTACATACGGCGTGTGCTGCGTCTATGTTCGTTCCACAGAAGGTCCTCAGTTCGAGCCTGGGTCGACTCATACATCAGTCCATCGACTTTGTCTCTTTGTCTTTTTTGTGTACAGGGAAACCCCATGAACAAAAAAAAAACGTAGAACCCAAACAAAAGACGAAAACCAAAACCAAAACAGAAGTCCCCACGCTATTCCCATGCACACATGCACGCACACAGGCCTTCGACACAACGTCTTCGCCGTCGATAGGGCCGCCGACGCCGATGGATGTACAAAGGTCGACAACAAGCACATGGGTCGATGGCGTAGCTGGTTATCGCATCTGTCTAACATACATATCCACTGAAATGGCAACACAGAAGGTCCTCAGTTCGAACCTGGGTCGACTCATATCCTATGATGCGTAACTTGTTTTTTCCTCTTCGTGCCTTGGTCCACACATCTCCACCAAGAGACCAACGGGCGCCCGACGATCGGGCGCCCGACGATCGGACGCCGCCCATTTACACTTACCTATCAACATAGACACACACAGGACAGGGCACGAAGGGTCGATGGCGTAGTTGGTTATCGCATCTGTCTAACATTGAATGAAAGCATTGTATATGTTCCACAGAAGGTCCTCAGTTCGAACCTGGGTCGACTCATCAGCATTTTCAGTTGTACGGTCTTTTTCCTTTCGTTTTTCCTTATCACCTCTGCCGTCCCCTCGTCTTTCTCCTTCCCTGCCCTCGTCCCCTCCCCTCGATCCCACGAAGCGCGAACCCACGCGCACTCGACACACCCCACGTCGTGAAGAACGTCGCGAGGACGAGAAACATGGGTCGATGGCGTAGTTGGTTATCGCATCTGTCTAACATGCAGAGAATTATGTGGGCTGTCTGTACACAGAAGGTCCTCAGTTCGAACCTGGGTCGACTCATTTTTCCCTCCCCCCTTCCCGTTTCCCTCGCACCTCGCGTGGAGCCGAACTGATGAACCCAACCCAACCGAACCACCCACCCACTCACTCACGCACGCATGCACATGGCACATGGCACGGCACATCAACCCCTCGAAAAAAAATATTATTACATTCCTCTTCTCTTCTCTTCTTTACTCTTCTCTTCTCTTCTCTTCTTTACTCTTCCCTCCCCTTCTCGTCTCCTCTTTCCACCGCTTCTCCTCTCCTCATCTCCTTTCGTACACCGCTCCTCTCCTCTTTCCACCCCTTCTCGCTATTCTTACTTTTACTTTTACTTTTACTTTTACTTCTCACTTTACTTCTGACTTTGACTTTAACTTCTTACTTCTTACTTCTTACTTTGTACTTTTACGTTGTACTTTTACTTTTACTTAATTCTACAAAAATAACCATAACCATAAGCTTATACGCACGCCGACGCACGCACGCAACACGCAATACAATAAACCGCACGCCGCGCCGCAGGCTATTCCGTCCGTTGGGGTCCGTCCACGTCCACGGCCACGGCGGGTTGGCGCAAAAGTGAAAGGTGAAAAACACACACACACGCACACGGCTCAAGATAAAGCAATGCAGAAGTAGCAAGCAGAGCAGGAAGCAGAGTAGTGAAGAAAAAGAAAGAGCGACAGAGTGCGATCCGAAACCTATCCGAATCCGCGATAAACGAGTGTGTGGTTGATGATGATATGCCAATGCGAGTCGAATGCGAGATGAGTTGTGATGAGTGATGATGCGTGCGATGAGATGAGTTATCAGTGACGATGCGTGTGATGATGATGTGTGTGATGTTGTGATGATGATGAGAGCAGAGCAGAGCAGAGCAGGCGTAAGGAGCGTGAGGGGCGTGAGGGCATGAAGTGATAAATGAGTGTGTGGTTGTACAGTTAGTGTACAGTGCGTGTGCGTGTGCGTGCGGGGGCGTGTGCGTGTGTGTGCGAGGGCGGGTGCGGGTGCGTGGTGCGTGCGTGCGTGCGGTGACAACAAGATTCAAAAACAAAAGCCAGAAGCCGAAAACGAAAAAAACAAAAAACGAAAAAAGCAAGCGCAAAAGCAAAGCGACACGAAACCGAAACCATTCGAAGATTTTTTCCAAGGGTGGCCTAGAGCGCGA